TGGAAGTGCTTTTTGCGGTGCTGGGGCCGAGATGGGCGCGCTCGGGAGCAGCACGTGGTGCTCGCCGGCATCCCGATGCTCGGCGGAGCTGGCGGCAGCAGCGCTCGGGGACTCGGGGCCCGGCAACAAGCATCTCATTTCCCTCTTGTCTCTTCCTGTCAGACAAGATTTGAAGATTCAATTAGAGTGGGAGCGCTGATAGCGGCGGGGCTGGCGTGCTGCTCGCGCCCCGCGCTCGGGCTGCTTGGGAACCCGATGAAAGCCAAAAGCAATGCAAGGAGAGGGGGTGGGGGGGAAAGGAGGGTATTGAAAAGGGATGGCAAAGAGCCTGGGAGGAAAAAAAAAAGGCAAGAAATGCAGATTTGAGGGAGTCGAGGGATGGTTTAGAGCATAAGTTTTATGAGGAGCAGCTGAGAGAGCTTGGGGGTGTTTTATCCTGGAAAAAAGGAGGTTCAGGCAGGAGGTTCGGGGAAGGTTCATCACTTGCTACGACTGAAAGGAGGTTGTAGCCAGGTGGGGGTTGGTCTCTTCTCCTAAGTAACAAGCAACAGGACAAGAGGAAACAGCCTTGAGTTCTGCCAGGGGAAGATTAGATTGGATATTAGGAAAAATTTCTTCACTGAAAGAGTGGTCAAGCACTGGAACAGGCTGCTCAGAGAAGTGGTGGAGTCACCATCCCTGGAGGGATTTAATAGATGTGTGGATGTGATGCTTAGGGACATGGTTTAGCAGTGGCCTTGGCAGTGCTGGGTTAACAGCTGGACTCGATGATCTTGGAGATTTTTTTCAACTTAAACTGTCCTATGATTCTGTGGTTGGAGGCTCAGGGATATGCTCCAGCCCCCCGTGCTGCAGAGTGGTGCCTGCTCAGGAGAGGGGTCTGAGGGCAGCACCAGGCTGAGATGAGGGAGACCTGCTCGGTGGAGTGAGTCTGGGTGTCAGGGCAGGACTTGCTCACCCAAAACCTCATCCTGCAGAGCTGGGTCTCCAGACCAGCAACAAGAGCAAGCTGAGAGCTGGGTTGAGGCTTGGTGTCCAATGGGAGAACAAGGCAGAGCCTCCCCAGTGCATTGGACAGGGACTTGCCTTGACCTTGGCTGGATTTCAGTTGGATTTATTTCCTCTGAGGAAGGGAGCTGTGATAAATGCAGGAGGGTATGGAACAGGATGGTGCTGGGTCCTTGTGTGCTGTCTGGGGGTGGGGGCTGCCTTTGTGGGGCTGATGGATCTTTGTGCCTTTTGAGGGTCAGAGACAGGATGTGGACACTAAAACACCCAAACTGCCCAACCAGGATATTCTTGAAAGGACGCTCCCCTCCTCTCCCCGCGTTCTCTGGAGGTAATAGAGGTTGTAAAGGAAAATGCAAATTTTTTAAAGACGGTGGGGCAGACAGATTTTTATTATAAATTGTGTTTTTACTACAAATTATATTCTGAGCCCCAGAGCTGAAACCCTGGGTTCAGCTCAGCTCTTGCAAAGTCAGGAGAATGAGCCGCACCGGTGCTACAGCCGCGAGCGACTCAGCCCTTGCAGACGTAGCAGTTCCCAAAACTCGGGCCGTGCTCAGGCATGGATTGATTGTGTACCAAAAAGTCAAGGTGCAAACATTGATCATGCAGAAAAGTGCTGGTCATCAGCCAACAATAAGCATTCCCCAGCCTAAATTATTAATTCCTTTATGCACGCCAAGCGGATCGCGCTGGTCGTGTACGTCCCCTTGCACAGTGGTTGCGCTTCGTGCCGTAGTATATTTTCCCTCCAACAACTTGTCTGGCTCTTCGCTTAATAAAGATTGAGAGAGACAATAAAAACATTCATTAAAGAGGAAAAAAATAAAAGATGAAGCCCTGCTTGTAGCCTCTAGCAGTTGGTTTCATTAAGCAATTGCTTCTCCCAAACCCTCCCTGGGTGGTTCCTGGTGCTGGTACCAGCCCTGGGTTTTGGGGATGCAGCATGGGGCTGGGAAACCCTGGGATGCTTGGCTGAAGGCCACAGAATCAATGGGGTAACTAGGAAGGGCAAGAAAGTGTCTGAGTGATGAAAAAGGGAATTAGCAAAATGAGCTCTTGGGGGAAAAAGCAGCTGTTTGGATGGGGTTATGCAGGGTTAAGATGCTATTTTGTGCTGTGTGGAACGTCGGGCTGGTCTCCTGCTCCTCCCAGATCCTCCACTGCTGTTCAAAGAGGGGAAAGTGTTCTTTCAGCTGTGAGCACTGAGGATGGGAGCATCCCAGCAGGACTGTGTCAGGGCTGGGGTCGTGAGAAGCAGCCAGGGCACCAGGGGAGCAGGGGCTGCATGGGGCTGGGTTTGGTGGGTGTCTCTGCTGTAGCTGTGTCAGCTGAAATAGCATAGATGGTGTTTCTCAGGGTGTTAATTCACTGATGGGGCAGCCAGGAGCCCCCATGCACAGTAAGGGCTCTGATCCCACAGCACTCACTGTCACTGGTGGGGTGGGGGAGCAGGGACAGAGAGGACTTGCTGCCGTCAAAATGCTCATCAACAGCACTTGAGTCTGTGAATTGGTCGTGGGAGGCCTGTTCTGCCCCCAAACTGTGACATCCGAAACGAAATGTGCGTTTTTCTCTCCGGTTCCAAGGCATGAGAAGAGCTTTGGATCTTGTTGCGATTTATCACTCAGCCCCGAGCCAGATGCCTATATGGGTTCCATCTACGGCTCCCAGAACTGATAGAAATATTATCCTGCCTTATTAAAATCACCCACAGCTACTGCAGCTGTATGTCAACAGCAAAACAAATAGCGACTGGTTCCCATCGGGTTGGAGCCTCTCTGCTGAGGCTGTCTTCCATCCTCCTCCCGCCAAAGTGGTTACAGATGTAGGCTTTTCCCGTTGCAGCTCCGAGCAGCTCCTGTACGGCCGATTCCAAATCCCATTACCACGCCGGAGCCGTCTTTGTTGAGCATCGGCTCCGCTAAAGCTCCCCCTGATGTGAAATATTGCTCACAGTGCTTTTCCTAGAAGTACTGCTAAGGAGGAGAGTGCAGTGCTGTGCTACCCCAAAAGATGCCCTGAATGGGGTGGGGAGAGGAGATCAAGAGGGCTATGCTGGGATGAAAGCAGGGCTGCCTCCTCCTCCTCCTCAGGTGCCCCTGCCAGGAGTCTGCTGAGTAATTTGCTGTGTGTTGCATCTGCTGTTGAGGGCATAACTGATGATGCAGTGCATGAGTCCCTTTCCTCTTGCCCCTCCAAAACCACCACAGCCCTAAAATTCCTGCTACCACCCAACCTGTCCCTGGCTCACCCCCATTCCTCTCTCCTGTGCTATCTTTGGTATAATTAGGAGGCCAGGACTGTGCATGTGAGGTGACTGTGACCTCATTAGTTTCTTATGCTGTATTGAAATTTCTACTCATTTGCATCCCAAATCCCTAAATGTGCAGCCCTGGTCTCCAGGGTCACTTTTAGCTGCTTTCCATCCTTCTCACCAAGGCTCCAGGCTGGAGCTGTGTTCCCTCTTCTCAACAGATTGCTCCACTTCTGTCTGGAAGCTGAACGAACCCCCCTCAAACAAGCTCCCTTGTTTGAGGAAGACAAATTCCTGGTCTAACCTGGGCAGGTGGGAAGGGCTCCCTGGGGAGATGCCCTGGTCTGAGGCAGTGCTGGGAGGGGGCTTCTGGTTTATCTCCTCTGCCCACCCAAGTGAGATGGGGGATGACAAACACCCTGGCTGGGCTGTGATGGGCTTTGGACTCTCACCCCTCTGAGATCCACAACCAAGATCGCTCTTCCCTAGCAAGAGTATCTTTTTAGTTCAGTGTTTGCTGATGCCAAAATCCTGTTAGACTGGTGGTACTGGCTTGATCCTCCTGATGTCTGGGTGCTTCACTTGAAACTTAGAGGATATATGGCTCTGTCAAGCCTTTCTTCTTTTTCTGTCCTAGTTGGAGGGAGAATGCTGTTGGAGATGGGAAGGTTTGCATTGTCTCTCCTGTGTGATGTTGGATCCCTTTATAGGGCAGGTATCTTCTGAAGCAAAATGCTTTCAATTCTCACAACGAGCATAATTCTTGAAAATGTATGCAATAAACAAAACGAGCCAAATGTAATTAAAATGGAGACAGCATATAATCTGGTAACCCACTTAGAGGCTCAAAGCTTCAGCTTTTAAAAAAATGTTTGCTCCAAATCCATTTAAATAAACAGACCAGCACACAAAGGCTCTCTGTACATTATCAGGATACAAAGAGAATCGGATCAAAAGCAGCTGTGACCAGGCTGTACATATGTAGCGAGGAAATTGCTTGATCTAAGACTGCACCTTGTACATGCAAATGTGTTTGTGGACCTTCCTGGGAATTGTATTTGTACTACAGCTGAGCTGTCGGGCTGTGCTGTGCCAGGGGGCAAAGGCTGGTGTGTGCCCCACCACGGGAGGGTTGGCTGGGGAATGAGGGAACTCTGGGTGTGCTGGTGTGTCCGCTTGCTTTGGCTGGAGCAGAGAGAGGCCAAGGACCAGCTGAGCCTGCCCTTTCCATGGGTGCACACAATGCATCCGGGGGGGGGGGATTGCTCAGAAACCTGTGAAAGAAATGGGAGTCCCTGTTCTTAGCACCTGTGTCACGGGCCCTCCGCTTGCTTGGTGTCACACGTGCCATGTGCTGTCACACTTGTGTCCCCCTGGGCTTGCAGGAGGGTCTCCTGGCCCTGGGGGGGCTGTGGGGATTGCATCTCCTCTGCCTGGACACCATCTGTCAGCTCTGCAGCAGAGCTCGGCTGGCCTTGAAGTTTTGCCAATAGCCATGTGATTTGTCTCGGGCTGGACAGCACAAGCTGTGAATCCAAGATCGAGTATACTCGCAGGCCAGCAGCATTTGGCCAAGAGAAGGCCTTTTGGGTCAGACAGGAGCATCTGCCTGTTGTTCTTGCAGGTGGTTTGGACTAGCTGGAGCTCTTGGCATATACAGATGTAAATATGATGCGGGGGTCTACCGGGGAAGGGTGAGAAAGCTGTTTCTAAGGTGGCAAAAAATCTTAAGCATTTAGAAGCAGGGTTCTGGCTCAGCCTGGGGACGTCTGCACTCAAAATGAGGATCGCCGGCAGAAAATCTGTTACTCTGGTCCCGCTGGAGGAAGGTCTCTGGCTCGGCGTGCCGTGCCCCCTGCTCGGGCCGTGCGTCCCTCCCCTCCCCGGGGATGCTGGCGGCACGGTCCCCGCCGTCGGGGACGGCTCCCGCCGCGGCCGGGACTCGCACCGGCAGAGGGAGCTCCGGCCGCGTCCTCCGAGCAGGGGGGACCGGGGGGACCCGCTGCTCCCGCGGTTGGGGATGGCGGGTTCCCCTCGCCTGCTCGGGGCCGGGTCCCCCTGCGAGCTGCTGGCCAGGGTCGTGTCCCCACGCAGCGTAGGGACGACCGGCTCCAGACGGGGTGGCCCCTCGCAAGGGGCTGGGGGTTGGGTGGCACGGGGAGGTGACCCACATGCGCCGAGCCCAACAGCACGGTCTCCGCTCGCGAGCGGTGGGGGACGGGGCGGGGGGCAGCAGGGAGAGGGTCTTGGGCAGGGTTTGGGCGGCACACGGGAGGGCTCTGTACCGGCTCCTGCTGCCCTCGGCACCTTGGCCCTGGCGGGCCTCGCTCGCCTGCGGCTTTTTCCTCCCCATCTCTTCGTCCCCCGCCCCATCTCTTCTTCCTTGCGTCTCACCGGCTTCCCCCTCTCCCGGTGCTGCAGTGTCCCACCGGGGGCTGCCTCCGCCTAACGCAGCGCGGGGCTTTCCCCCTCCTCCCCGCCCCCGGCGCTGCAGGTCCCCGTTCTCCCCCCGGATTTCCCCCCAGGGCAGGGGGTGCCCGGGCCCGACCCCCGCGGGTGCGCCCCGTCCATCCCCGCCGGGGACCGTCCTGCCCGTCCAGCTGTGCCGCCGGGACGGACACCCCCGGCAGCCAATGGGGAGGAGCGGAGGGGCCGGGGGGGGGCCCCCATTGGCGGCGGGGGGAGGAGGAGCCGGGACTTGAAGTTGGAGTGAGGGATCCAGCTGTGCGGGAGCGCTCGGATCGGCGCGGCTGCCGCGGGAGCATCCTCCGCCCGTCCCCGCGGCGCCGGGCAGCATCCCCCGCTCCCGGGCAGATGCTGGGGCGCGGAGGGGGCAGGCAGAGCCGCTAAGGCGGCCCGCCCCGCGGGTGGGGGCCAGCAGCCGGCAGCGGGGGCCGCCCCGCCGCCGCCTCCCTGCCCGCGGCTCGCCCGGCTCGGGCCCCCGGAGGCACGGCGAGGAGGAGCTACGGAGCCCGCAGACGGCAGGGCAGGGCGAGGGGGGCGGCCCGGCCCCGGCGGGGGGCGAGGCAGCGGCTCGCCCGGCCATGCCACCCCGGCGCTGAAGCCGCCCCGCCGCAGCCCCCAGCCCCCCGGCCCCGCCATGGCCGCGCCCCTCTAGGCGTCCCACCGGCTCGCCCCGCGTCGCCCCGGCTCCCCCGGGGCCGCCGGCCGGAGGATGGACGAGGATGGACCGCGAGCGGCCGAGGAGGATCCGGAGCCGGGCAGAGCCAAGACTTTCATCCGCCTTAATGACCTGTCCGGGGCCGGGGGCCGCCCGGGGCCGGGGGACAGGGAGGCGGGCAGCGGCGACTCAGAGGCGGAGGCGCTGCCCTACCCGGCGCTGGCCCCCGTCGTCTTCTTCTACCTGAGCCAGGAGAGCCGGCCGCGGAGCTGGTGCCTCCGGCTGGTCTGTAACCCGTATCCTTTGCAGGTGTTCGGCGGCGAGGTAAGCCCCGCGGGGCCCCCCCACCCTCGGAGCGCCGGGCAGGGCGGGGGGCACCTCCCGTCTGGAGCCCGCCGGGTGATGGGGAAGGAACGGGGGTTTGGGAGGACCCGTCACCCGCCGTCCCCGGGAGAGCGGGGGGCACCGGCGGCGCTCGTCCCCTCCCCCGTGCTCTCCCGGGAAGTTTTTCCGGGCTGTTGCAGGGGCTTGGCGGTCCCTGTCTGGGTGCGGAGCTGAAGAGGGGGCTGTGCAGGGCTCCCCTCTTGCAGAGCTCCCCTCCCCCGGCCGCCCCGCCGCGATGCCGCCGCTCCCGCTGGCTCCGTCGCTCCGCTCCACGGGGAGTCGGAGCAGGAGCTGCGGGCGGCCCATCCTTCCCCGGGGATCGGCAGCCTCTGGTCCTGCTTCCCTGACACACCGAGCGACCCTAACATCGAGCACCCCCCCTTGCAGACCCGTCCTTCCTCCCTGACCCCGTTTCTCTCCCGTCTCCGGTCCCTTCCTCGAGGGTTTGGAGGGGGGGGTGCAATCTGAAGAGAGGTGGAGATGTGTGTGGCGTTGGGTTGCTGCCCAGCTCCAGGGTCCCTAATTCAGGGTGTTCAAGGCTGCTCGAAGGGGCTCTGCGGTCCCCCGGGGGATGCTCCTTGCTTGAAGGGGTCGGGGCAAGCTGGGGATCACGGTCCCTGGGTGTGTGTGGGCCAAGGGCAACTGTTTGTCAGGTCCTGGGGTGAGCTGTGCCTCCCCAAAAGCTTCTGGTCTCCTAAACTCCCTATCTGCTCCAGCACAGGCTCTGAGTCTGAGCCGCTTTAGTCAAGTTTAAGCTTTCAAAAGAAGGGGGACAAAAATTAAAAGAAACGGAGGAGACAATAGAAAAATTTCTTCTTGCCACACTCTTTAAAGCCTCCCTTGGAGTTGAGTTGCAACCAGCACACAGTTTGTAGCATTCCAAGTATTCTACCATCCCCAAACTCCAGTTCCATTATGGAACGGAATGAAATAAAGCGCAGCGCTGTGGCTTCCAGCAGGGGCTGGTGCGGGAGAGGCAGCGCTGCCCGGGAAGTTACCGGGTCCGTGCTGCGCTGCCGGCGCGAAAGGCAGGCGAGCAGGTCTGGGCAGCAACCCCACATCTGGAGGGGGAGAGGCTGTGCAGTAGCGGGGAGGACATGTTACATGGTATAGAGGGCCAGAATAGCCTGTGCGAGTCCTCCCCCACTCCTGGTGTTCGGGAACTGTTAGGAATTACATCTCCGCTGAGGTTGGTGTGCCTGGGAAGAGCAGCGAGGGTCTGCTGGAGTTGTGGATATTGTTTTATTTGAGCTTCAGCAATGATTTCACTGGTAAACAGGCTGCCTTCTTTCCTAAAATGTCCCCCAGGAGGGAAAAAAACCCTAAGATTTCTCTTCCCAGTCGTGAATACTCCCAGCAGTTTCCCCCCAAATCTCTTTCACACTAGCTAAGCACTTCAAAGCTGCATTTATTTAAACATCTTAGAAATCTTGCAACTTTGTGAAGCCTTCTGTTTTGGAAAGAAATATTAACGACAGACGACAGGCTGCAAGTCAGTGTGTTCTTGTTGCCTACTATGACTAATATTATTTATGAATGCTGGTTTAAATATGTTTCCAAGTCTCTCTGTTCTTTTTTTTTTCTTTCATTTTTAATCTTTGTAATGATGTTTTGAATCTGGTGTTAACACCTGCATGGTTTTAGTGTTTTCGGTAAAATTTCCCACTCCAATAACGGCTTGAAATGTGTTTTCTCCTCTGTGGTTGCAAATACAAGCTGATTAACTTTTGTCCTTGGAAAATTAGTGGTATTGTGGGCACCTGCAAGCACCACCGCAAGCAGGGGATGAGCATTAGGTGCAGCCCTGCAAGCTGGGATTTTTCTAGTCACCAGTTCCTTGCTTGTTACCGACAGAGAGAGGCGCTTGCCAGGAGCCCTGGGGCCAGCGGGGATGATGCTGTGGGTCTCCGAGTCGTGTGGCTGCATGCAGCTGTTTGTTTTCAGGGTCACTGACCCAGAATTGGGGGAGTTTTATTTAAAAACAACACCAGAAAAAGTCACTTCAGCCTACAGATGAGAGAGAGGCAGTGGTTGGCTTGGCACCCACCCTGTGTCCTGTCACTCACTGGGCTGTTCGGCAGAGCATCGTCTCGCTCATCCCTTCGGCTCTCTGCAGCCCCAGGGCTGGAGCTGAGCCTGTTCTTTGTTTATATTTGTTACTTTTATTGTTTTCCTTTAGTGTGGTGGGGCAATAGAGTGGCCCTTCTCAGGCTGTAATCTTCTAGGAATTGTGTCCCAGTGCTAAAATCACGTTGCTGGAAAGTCTTTGTTGCCACCAGCTGCCCTGGAGAGGAGTGGCAGTGCTTTGGCTCACATGGCTGGTGAATCCTGCCCCAGCTCTGGGGGGTTTGGAGCTTTCACTGGCTTCTGCCACTCTCACGGGTGGTTTTTACCTTTCTGCATCTGCTTATGCAGAAACTGGATGGGAGGGCTCTGGTTTGAGCTGTGCCTGTGGCGATGCGCAGCTTGGGGCTTGGCCAGGTGGGTTTGTGCTGCTCTAATCTGGCTGATAAACCAACTTCACTGTTGATGGGGCATTGGGAGGAGGTGCAGGACCCACTCTTGCCCCGGGAAGAACAGCTTGTGCCCCCAGGGTGCATCTAGAGCACCTGGGATGCTGCTCTCCATCCCTGTCCAGGTTGTTTGTGTAGGTGCGGCAGTTGAGGCTGAGGTGGGGTTAGGGAAGGGTGATGGTTGAGGTGCTGAGTATCCAGCAAGGATGCAAAGTTCTGTCAAAGTGGTTTGTTGAGCTCTTCTGCCATGTTTCAGTTCAGAGTATCCTCTACCTGGATCAGGGAGCTTCTTTTCTTGCTGTCTGGTGTGGAGATGGGGGGGTACTGTGCTGCTCTCCTGCTCCTCCTCTCCCTTAGGGCTAGAAAGAGGTCATGAAGTTTGTCCTAATCCAGGAATTCTCCAGAGCCTGAAATCTTGGGGGTTTTAACTCTAAACATGTATCATCCTGTCAAGCTGTTCTCCCTCTCCACTCCATCCTGGTCTTTGAGCAAAAACCTCTTTGAGTGCTGTGAGGAACTGGGAGGATGAGCCTGGTTGCCCACCTGCATATTCCCAGTGGCTCTGGGATGGAAGGTTCTGCACTGAGTGAGAACTGCCTGGTCAAAAGGGAAGGAGCCAGGGACATGTTTAATGATCACAGTGCTGGACTTACAGGCTCAGCAAAATGGGAAGGACTGTGGCACATGCAGGGTGTCCTAATGTGCATGCTGGAGAGGCTGTGAGAGGAGAAGCAAGAGTCTCTGGGGGGGGGAGAAAAGAGGAGGCAAGCTGGTTACTTGACTTTCAGTTCCAAAATAAAAGCACCATGAAGGCTGGGAGGATGAAAGGCTGTAGCAGGGTCTGTGCCAGGCTACTCCTCTGATCAGAGACAAGAAACGAGGCTATTTCTTGAGAGTTGAGGAGTGATTGAAGAGCGGGGATGGAGAAAGTGGGGAGGATGCTACTGCTTGGCGTTAAGAGCTCTGAATAGAAAAATAACAGTGCAACTGAAAGGGCCTGTGATATCTATTGTAGTACTGAGAACTGCCTCGTCCCCCGCGCTGTGCCTGCCTGCAGAGTGCTGCTGCCTGGAGAGCAGCACACGGCAATGGGGGGCTGCAAAACCTTCTGGAAGGTGCTCTTCTGGGGAGACGCCCCCAAATTGGTTGAAATCCCATCTTTTCCTCCTGGTTTGGAGGGTGAAGGGCAACTCTGTAAATTCCCTCACTGGGGAGGGGAGGTTTGGGTGGCACTGGGAGGAGTGCTCCCATCCTGCCTGGCTGCTCTGCAGCACAGTCCCTGGGATTCGGGGTTTGAGAATGGCTTTAGCAAAGAAACACGTCTTGATCTGGTCATGGAAGCCAGCCCTGCTTTCTGTCTGCAATAAAACGCAGGGAACTCTTCCAGCAGCTGCCTCACATGGCCCCATTCACTCCCCAGCAGGGAGAGGTCAAAGCTCAGTCCTGGGGAGGTGCTGAGTGCCCCCAGCTCTCGTTGGAAGTCAGCAGAGGTGCAGATGCCCAGTCACCTCCAGGAGTGGGTCCAGAGCTCTTATAGCCTCATGCCAAGGCTTATATGAGCTCTGTGCCAGGATGGCTCATGGGGTGGCTGGAGCCTCTGTGTCGGAGCTTGGTGCATCCTGGAAGGCAGCGCTGACCCTGCTGAGGGGATGGTCAGACCTTGCCTGCTGAGCTCACCCTGAGCACTGGTGGTCTGTGTGTCAACCCCGCTCTGCATTGGCCTGGACGGATCCAGCTCTTCTGGAGGGGCATGTCCTTGTGTCCAACTGCACTGGAACCAGGACCCTCCTGCCTGGTGGGGATTAGAACTGAACCTGCTGAGCTGTGTTGTGGTTTGGGCTCCCCAGCCCTGGCGGTGTCCCCCCGCAGCTCTCCCTCCTGTGGAGATGCGATGAGGGCAGGGGGTGAGCAAAACCCCCATCACCTCATGGGAACTCGGGGTCCTCGCTCCCTTTTTGGCTCTGCCAACTCATGGGGGTAGCCCAGCACTTCTTGTGCTACTGTTTGTAGGGTTCAATGTAGTGCAGG